CTGGAAGTTTTTAAGAAGAGATTGTATAACCATTTGTCTAAAATGATGTAGGAGTTTCCTGCTAGAGCAAGGGATTGGAGTAGAAGACCTCCAAGGTCCCTTCTGTTATCTTTGAACTAGAACTTCAAGCAGTTGTTCAGCTGCTGGTGACTAAAGCCCCACTATATAGATAGAACAGAGATAGGAAGGGGACTGTGATACAATATGAGGCTATATGTTTGGAAATCAAAGGAAACCTAACATAGCATCACTCAAATTTTATAGTCCAATCCTGAGGTGGGTTGTGGCCGGGTTGGCCTGGATCAGCCAAACCAGTAGTAGCCACATTGGGAGGCTCTGCCCACCCACCTGGATGCTTCTGCGCATGCGCAGAAACATCCTTGTGCGCCCAGAGGGAGCGGACTTGTGGTGTATTGTGAAGCTGTTACCATGGCAACTCCACTGCGCAGTAGAGTATAAGCCATTTTATGGCAGTACAGTAGAAGCCATTGTAAGGCACAACAGGGTGTAGCTTAACAGAACACACACACCGAGGGGTATTAGGGGTGTCTTAACCCTATAGTATTTTTCTCCCGAGAATAAGTCATCTGTGTACCAAGTTTGGTTGAAATTGCTCAAGGCATTCCAGAGTTATGCTGGAACACACACCCACACACCCACACACCCCCATTGTCACAGTCTCAGGAAGCAAATGCCGTGGTAAGAACCTTTGTGCCTTTTATTTTCTAGGTTAACCAACTGATGAGAAAGTGTTGGGTACAGGATCCTGGTGAGAGGACAACTTTTCACAATCTGATTCAAGGCTTTGAAACACTCATTACGAAGTTATAATCCAACATTTTTATACTGTTGTTGTTGAATATTTTTAAAAAGACAGCCTGTTGCTACATTTTTGTAATTTTGCAATTCAGCAATTCCTTTTTGCTTGGAAATAAGAGTTTGCTACTCAGTCAACCTTGTGAGTACTTGGCAATCACCCTCTCTGTGATGGCCAGAACTGTTGTATTCCATTCATTTAGGTCCTAACTGGTGAAAATGGTGATTGGCTTGTGCAATCACGATGTTATCAAAATGTTTAAAAGAAAACAGAAGTTTTGTCAGAATAATGGCCTTGAGGTATGCAGCATGTTGCATTGCTTCTTCATGAAAGCCTTAGAAAATGTACATTATGCAAAATACTAATGCTGTTTTTGCAGGAAGAGCCATACAAATATGTTCACTGAGAAGGCTTAATTATGTATCTGTAACCTTCAAATTCAGTTACCCGCCTACCTGAGTAGGATACTTTTGAACTCATCTTAAAAGTGAAAACTTTATGTCACATTATTGATACTTGGTATTCATAGTAAGAAATTACTATGAAGCATATTGTTGTCGAATTCACTAGTTCTTTACATCCCAGCCTATTTCTTTTTGTATATTGTGTATTTTGTAAACTTGTCTCCTATATGCTTGGTGCCTCCTAGCCTCCATCACATGTATAGAGCCGAGACTTCTGCTAGTCATTCATCCCTAGCACATTATTTGATGTTTTCGTTTATTGACATCCCCTTAAATGGAAAGCTAAGGAAATCGTCTGTTTAAATTTGTTGTTTTTGGTTGGGGGAAGAATGTTGAATTAGGATATTTGGGCCATGGTCAAATGCCAATGGTCGCTCCTTTTATTATGAAGGGAAATTTGAATTTTTTTATATATAGTAGGTGTTCTGACTCTTATGCAGAATGCAGGATTTTTATACACCGATCTTTTATATGCGAGGCAAATAATAGGTAAATGGAAAAGCGTTATGTCAATATTGAAGTGACACACCTCATGCTGATAATATTTTTAGCAAATGTCATAAGACATACCAACAAATTAAGCAGCTAGCCAGAGAAGTGACCTGTGTGTATCTTTTATTCTGAACTGCAACACCCCTTCTGCACAAGGATGTTGCCGCAGATCAAATATGATACAATACATTATTCAACAATAATGTATGTATTTTACCTGCAGTTTATAAAGAAAATAGTCAGAACTTTACAGATTTGGAAAGCTTGTGAGCTGGATCCAGATTTAATCACGGTTAAAGAAAGACTTTTGATTTCATTGGTCAATTCTAAGTAGATCTAACCCAATCCGTTTAATCTAAATAAACCAGATCCCTTCTATACTTTTAGTTGAAAGAAAATGGCAATATACATGTACATGGAAAAGAGCCATGATACTGGATTTACCAGATTGTCCTTTTCGCTATCAGTTCATAAATCTTTTTTAGATTAAAAAAAAATAAAGTAAGGGGCATTCTTCTTTAAAAGGAAACTTCTTTCCTAAAATAAAATATTGCATTTACAGAGTAATTCAGGATTTGCAATAATGTAAAATGTAATTTTAATGCTAACCCATCTTTCAAATTGCTTGTTCTTTTATGTAATCTATAAATATTCTATATGCACTTTGTTATTCTTTATTAAACAAAACCCTCTTGATTTTATTCAGAAATGTTCATCCATTTTTTTAAAAAAGGTTCCAAATAAAGACTTCGCGCTGAAGCCTATACTCGGTGTGCTTTGAAGGGATTAATCCATCTCAGTTGGCCATTTTTGTGTTTTGTCATCTTCATGTCCATTTCCCTGATTGCTGTCCATTTTATTCATTTATTTGTTATTTATTATTTATAGGGGCTCCCAATCATGACTCACTGGGCTATGTGTAATAAGATCAGAAAGAACGCAAAAAAATATATGCTTATTCATGCGTATCAACTTGAATGCCTGCAATTGTTAATTTTGACAAAAAGCAGCATAGGGATTTGTTAAAATAAAAGTTTTCATAGAAGCCACTGGTGTAAGGGTGCTGCATATACTATTTCATAAAGAACTGTTGGATATTATCTACTGGATACATGCTGGAAATTCAGTCTAGTTCTACTGAATTACTTTTACAGTATGATGGCTCAGCGACTAAGACACTGGACTTGTGGATGAGCATCTGTCCTTGCACTATCTCCTGTCAACCTAGCAGTTTGAAAACATGCAAATGTGAGATGAACAGGGTTCATCTTCCGGGGGTGGGGGTGGGGGGGTGGAGGTAGCAAAGTGGACTAAACTATATAGACGTATAAGAACATTTACATGTCCGTTTATTTATCAAGAGCTTGATTGGTCGAAAGGTATTGGAAATGTAATGAAACCAATACATAAATATAGAAGTGGTGTCATCCTTTCAGAAGTGGCTTCCTTTTTCCAGGAGCATACAACCAAAACCCATGGCTTAGTGTCAAAATATGACAGGTCTAATTCTACAGAACAGCAGCTTGCAGCAATTAAGCTGCTATTGAACTCAGTGACACAACCCTAATAAATATTTCAATCAGATTTAAACACATTTAGTTTTTATGGTAAAGCCATATTACAGTCATATTACAGTTCTCAAGACTGTGAGCACACTGGGGTAAATAAGCCTGTTTCAAGCACATTTTCACTCACAAGTAGACCAGTTAGAAATAAAAGATAGCATATCAACAGAAATGTTTCAAGTATGTACAGAATATTACTTCTGGGGAGCATCTCCAGAATTTCCAAGTTGGCAGTGAGATAAATCAGGTGTTTGCAAGAACCATCTGGAAAGCATATTCTTTTAATTAAATGCAAGTGACTGTAATAAATTCAGCTCCAATAGGATATATATATGTGTGTGTGTGTGTGTGTGTGTGTGTGTGTGTGTGTGTATGTATATTCATACACACTATATTTGAAAATGTGTTTAAATATTGTCTCTAGGTTTAGAACTTATAATTCTAAAGGCCAACATCTACAAACAAAAATCTAGTTTCAGTCCTTCAGTTCCACAGAAAGTTTGTCATAACATACTTTATATTTCAACAATGTTATTTTCAATAAGACATGTGTATCTTGACATTTTCCTAACTTACTGCTAGGAGAGTTGCTTAATTTTATTTACATTTGAAAGTTGCAAATCTAAACCCAATCATCTCAATAAGAGTGTATTATTATTGTGAAACAGACAAAAGAATTATACATGAATCTTATTCAATCAAGGACTAAGTAATCAGAGACTTCTTGTAATATCACTGACCAGCATTATTGTTTTTTAAGGGTATGAATGCAGTTTCTCAGCAAGACATTTGGAAAGTTCCATTATTTCATTGTTTTGAGAGTAGCTCTCACACCATAGCATTGCTGTTCTTCTAAACACGTTACTGTCAGCCCAAACAACAAAAATTAATCCAGAAGACAAGAGCTTCTTCCCCATACCATTTTTCCTTATCAAAACTAATTTCTGCAATACTATTGCACATGTTATCTACAATATATTTATATATATTAAAAGAGAACAGTGGCAAGAATGCCACAAAAAGTGATTTTGATTTCAATTAGATAGAAATCTTAATAGACACGCTTTCTTTTAAGGTACAGTTCTGTATAATGCATTCCGGAGCCCTGAGTATGTGGGCCAACATATTCCACTGGATTGTCTTCTGGATTTGTGATGAGGTATGAAGAGCTCCGCTTTTCATTTTTCATTGGCGTCATCTAAGGATCATAAAAAGTCAATTATAGTAATGTGCAGCACCTAAAGAATGCTGAATTTGACATTTGATAAACTCTAACCATGATTCACACAAGAAAGTGATCTTGACAGATATAAATAGTTGGTTCCAGAGCTTTATCCAGTGGTGGGATTCAGCCAGTTTGCATCTATTCAGGAGAACTGGTTGTTAACTTTCTAAGCAGTTCGGAGAACCGGTTGCAGGAAGACATCTCATTTTGTTTTTTTCCACTTCACAGGGCTAATCCTGTAAGGAAGGCAGGAAGGAAACATTCTGGTGGTTTCTAGCCTAATCTTTATTGCCCTGCTTACAGAAACTGCCTCTCCGGTTAACCCTCATTACATTGTAACAGCTAAGGTGAAGCGCCATTGACGTGAGTGACATTAAGTTGGCCACGCCCACACAGTCACAAGACCATTGAGCCACACTTACCCAGCTGGTCATTAGGGCAGAAAACTGGTTGTTAAATTATTTGAATCCCACCACTGGCTTTCCTTGAATTATGTATTCCTGGATGGAATTGTATAAACTATTCCTGCTGGTGGAAAAGGAATTATATGCAGCTTCCAATGCTGCCCTTGGAGAACACTGCTCTTCAAGGATCTGCAATTTTTTTAGAGCGGGACTAAAGTAAAAATCTAATGTAGGATTTTGCTATCTACAGGAGACCTAAGTTGGTTCCAATTTCATAGTTATTCTGAAAAATTCCATTACCAAAATAATGAAGACAAATAGCATTCACAGCAACTCTAATGAAATGGCACTATCTCAGAACTCTCAAGATCTCAACTGAGAGTACACATCTGTTCAAAATGTAGTAACGAAAAAAACAAATTACAGATGTTATTTGCTATTTATCCCTCAATGCATCTTAACATGATATAGTACTTCGGAAGCTCTGGTTTGTAGCTACTGGTACTTAAATATTGGTTATGTTTGATGTATTCTGTAGTTTTAGGCTCCAGCAGAAGTATTTTTACCTTCAGGGGATTTTGAGGTGTAAACGGCAAGACACTTGGATGGAAGAATCCTTGAGCTGCAGCATAATATGAAGGCATAACCTGTAAATAGGTACCATAATCACCATAAACTCCTCCATTGGATTCCTATAGAACAAAACAGAAAAATAAAAATGTGTGTTAAGAAGCTGATAACCAATTAAGAAATTTAAATTACTACAAGAAATTAATAACATACATTTTCAGAAAGAGTATAGCTCTGGTAGAATACTTAAAAGAATGGAGTAGAAGAGATTGTAGTCTTAATTTTCTCTAGATTCTAGTTAACCTGGCTCCCATTGCTACAGCCTAATTTGTTATAGCACTGTTGTAAAAATAAGGTAACTACATATAGTAGGCACTACCTTATATTCCCACTTGATAACTTGTGATCTTTGTCTTCATTGGGGCCGCCTTCTTTCTATAGACACCATAAGCGTGTACCATTTCCTCTCCCTTCACAACCGGAGGGGAGAGTCCTGGTGAAGCCGCCTCCTCTTCCTCAGCTGATCTATTCCTATGGAACTGCCTACCATTTTGCTGGAGGTGGGGGAACAAAGGGAGCTGTGAACCCCATGGAAACTTGCATCTCTGCTCCATATTCCTTCCCCTTCCACTGAGGAATAGAGTTCACCTTTTACCAGCGCAATCCAGCCAACCCTGCCTCACCAACAGGCATCTCAGTCACCAACAGGCATCTCAGTCACTTCCTCATCCTTCTTCTTTCCACATATAATATAGATTTGTGTCATTTCTCCTCTCCTCAGGAGAGTCCCAAAAAGGAAGCTTCCTCCTCCTCCTCCTCCCCATGGAACTGCCTACATTTTGCTGGGGAGTGGGGGGGGGAGGCAACTGTGGACCACGAGAAAACCCTTTCACCTCACTCTGTCCCCCAAAGGCACCTTCACTCCAGGGAGGAATAGGACTCACCCATCATCCATCAGCATCCCTTAGCCAACTCTTATCTTGCCAGGAGGCATCCGAATCACTCGCTTATTTTTTCCTCGAAGATTTAAGCTTTAGTTCCAAAGCAGCCAATGGCTTCTCACCTATTCAGCCTTGCTGACAGCTGATTGGGTACAAAGGCCAGAGGAAGGCAGGAAACTGGGCGGACATACATTTATCCCATTTTCCCTTGCACCATGGAACCTATGGCTTTCTGGGAAGTACAATCAAAAGGCAGCTGCAACCTTGCCAAATTTCAGTCCCAGAGGAGCCAAGGATCCTGGATTTTGGATGCATTCTGTAAGTTAGCCCATTCGAGGTACATTGATTCAGAAAATGTTTGTTTCTCAAGCATGAACTGTTTCACCCAAATGAAGGGGTGTGAAGTATGAGAATTTTAATGATGTATAGCTAAGAAAACCACAATACAAAATAAAGTCTAGGTAACAGAAATATATTGCACGTAATCTCCAAAAGCAAAGCTTTTCCAAGAATCTGTCACAACACGTTTCACTAGAAATCTATTTATTCTTAATTACCCCCCAACTTTGGAATTTCAATTCACTCAGCGAGAGATTAGTCTTGAGTTTCTGGAAGCTGCAAGTCATGCAAAATTGGCACATAAGCAACTAACTGGTTCCTGGTATCTGATCCCTGATCAACATTGTGAAAGTAGAATAAGCTCAAACTCTGGATATGTACACTTCATCCCATCCCTACTGCAAAAACATTCCCTGGAGACTCTACTGTGCTACTATTTGCACAATCCCTTACAAGAAGACGGGAAATGTGGCCCAGGGCAGAGCTGTTGGTGCTGCTGCTTCATAGGACAAAAACAGAGGTTTAATTCCTTGATTAAAGGGCTGGGGAAAGGTCCAGTCTGAAACCCTGTAGAGTAGTGACTGTAGACAACATAGAGCTAAATGGACACTGTGATGTAAGGCAGTTTTCTGATAAATCATGTTAAAAATTCAATGATGCATGAAAAAGGATTACTGAAAAGACCTAACAGTAGACATAAACGAGAAAATGAAAAAACAGGTTTGCAACTGGAAGTGTTATTTATGCATAAATTATAATAGTACATAGCTTTGCTTCCCACCTCACACCCTGGGGAAAAACTCCTCTGAATTAAATTTCTTTCTAGACTAGAAGAAAAATTATACAGTTGGCAGAAGCAATGAATTTACTCTTGCTTCCCAACCAAATTCTAAAGCCAATTCTGAACAATTTCCTGTCAACCGAAGAGAAGCAGGTTGGAACTATTGATTACCCTCTAACACCACTGGATGACATCACCAGGCCTCGCTGTTTCAGCAGAGTAAGGAAGATATTTAGGGATGATTCACACTCTGGCCAGTGTCTCTCTCCACTTTTACTTTTACCATCAGGCAGAAGACACAAAAATATAGCCAGCTGGACAAACAGGTTTAAAAACAGCTTCTACCCATGGGCTGTCAGACTCCTAAACACCAAGAGCCGAGGTTGCACAGTGGTTAAATGCAGCACTGCAGGCTACTTCAGCTGACTGCAGTTCAGCAGTTCGGCTATTCAAATCTTACCAGCTCAGGATTGACTCAGCCTTCCATCCTTCCGAGGTGGGNAGACTCCAGGACTGGCCCATGTTCCTCCCAAACCTCCTCACTGTCTGAATCTGCTGCCAGCTCTGCTGGCCGCTGACGGGCCACAACAGCAGATAAGGGATAGTTATCTGACAGAAAGTCTAGTGAACACATTACAACTTTTAAATAAATATAAATAAGAGGGCACAATATAGTGTGTAAATGTAGTTCACACAATATAATTTTAATTTTTGTATTTCCGTATGTTGTAATGATTTAAAATGTTTTTATGATTGTTCACCACCCAGAATCACTGGTTAGAGATTGGTGGCTATACAAATTGAATAAATGTATAAAGTATAAAGTTAGAGCCACTGTTTCTCTCACTCGGCAAAAATAATCAAGTCACATATCTGGCTATTAAAATATTTAATATTGAATTATGTCCCTAAAATTGGGTCACTAAAATTATCACATGACCATTGAGTGCTGTGACAGTTTTAAATATGAGCATTTTTTATAATGTTGTAACTTTAAATGGTTCTTAAATGAGGCTGTCAGTAAGCGAAGACAACCTATATTTTCAAAACGAATTTCTGCTACTATAATAGGAAACAAAATGTCACTTGCATGGTTCCCCTTGGCTCCCCATGTCCGTGGCCACTTGTGGTAAAGGTCCCATCCCTAACATTGTTTGAAGCAACATAGCTGGAGGCTCTCCAAGCAAACTTGGTTTCTACAAAGAAAAAAAAGTATAGATTAATTTTTTTAATGTATTTGAATAAAACCGTTCCAAAGATTTTCAATGCACACACTCTGTTTTACCATATTAGCTGATAACAGAAGACAAAGAAAAAGGAAATAATACTACTGCTACTATTACAAACAAAGATATGAATTAGAAGATATTTCCATTCTTCATTTTATCCAGATGTTTGGTCTAAATTACAAGTACAAGCCTATTTAACTCACACTATTAGGTTGTATATTCTCAATCTTTGATAGTGGTGCCATATGTAGATGTGATAAATTTTGTAGCAACAAATTTGATGCATTTCCAAAAACAGGACCCTGTAAGATTGAAAGGAATAGAATTATGTATGAGTTACATACATATAAAACAAATATTATTCCAAACAACATAAAGAGATAAAGGTAAACATTAATTTCATATATATTTCACCAATTATATGATTCAATCTTCAAAATATAGAATTCCTTTCAATATTAAAGATGTATCACATATTTGTGAAATGACAACTGCATATGTCTTTGGGATAGCTACTAATTTTTTCTTCTGAGAACTAATATACATATCCCTATTTTTCATTTTACTCTTCTAAAAGATGGTAAAATGTAGGAGCCATGGTAGCATAGTGGTTGGAATGCAGTATTGTTGGCTAATTCTGCCAGCTGCCAGTTGACAGCCAGCAGTTCGATTCTTACCAGCTCAAGATTGACTCAGCCTTCCAACCTTCCAAGGTTTATAAAATGAGGACCAGATTGTTGGGGGCAATATGCTGACTCTGTAAACCGTTTAGAGAGGGCTCTAAAGCACTGTGAAATGATATATAAGTCTAAGTGCTATTACTATTACTATAATCAGGGGTGGGTTTCTCGCCCCGTTCCAACCGGTTCGGTTGGAACGTGGCTGGCGGCGTCCTCGCGCACGTGTGTGGCGTCCTCGCGCATGCGTGCGGTGCGCGCATGCATACTAGTGTCTGTGCGATGCTCTAGCTGCTCCTGGAGGATCGCGCAGGCGCTGTATGCGTCCTGCGCATGCGTGGAAGTGCAGAATTCATCAAAACCGGGTAAGGAGTGGGCGCGGGCACGCGTGGGCGCGGGGGGGGGGGGCTTCGCCGTTCCCGGAAGTTACTTACTTCTGGGTTCGGCGACCAACCGGATCGCAGGGACCTCCACGAACCAGTTGAAACCCACCCCTGACTATAATATGTAAGCTCTAAGTGAAGTTTTTTAAAAAATTTAAACACATTCCTCTTAATGGAAACAATCATATTATGCTGTTTAAATTTTCCACTACAAATATGATCTTGGTTATTTTCCATTATTAAGAAGAAGTAATATTACAGATGTGCCTTCCTATTTCAAAAGATGATTATAAATGTAAATAACTGAATATTAAATAGTTGTTTTTCAACAAGTAGCAGCAGCTAACTGATCTTGTCCATTGATAAGAAGTTAAATAGGGTTAGTCCTAGTTTTTATTTAGATGGCAGTCTACCAATAAATATCAGATTTGTAAGCTAGACTGGGCAGTTGAGAAAATCAACCAGAAGGTGGCCAGGCAAACCACTTCTATATTACAGATAGTCCTCAACTTACAACCATTCATTTAATCACCAATCAAAGTTACAATGGCCTGAAAAAAATGACTTATGACCATTTTTCATACTTATGACCATTGCAGCATCCCCATGGTCATGTGATCAGATGATTCTGCATGTATGTATGACAGTTGCATTATTTCCAACAAGCAAAGTCAATAGGTGAAATCAGATTCACTTAACAATTGCACGATACACTCAAACACCAACAGTGATGTGCTTAATAACTGTGCCAAAAAAGTTATAAAATGAGGCACAACTCACTTAACAAAGGCCTTGCTTCGTAATGGAAATTTTGGACTCAATTGTGGTCGTAAGCCAAGGTCTACCTGTATTGCTAAGAAAACAAAAAGGGCCTAATTTGAGAGGAACTATTTTAAGATAGTTATTCTATCTACCGCATTTTTCGGAGTATAAGACGCACCAAGGTTTTGAAGAGGCAAATTTTAAGAAAAGTAGGTAGGTAGATAGTGGGATATAGAGGGAGAGAAAGAAAGAGAAATACAGTAGGTAGGTAGAGAGAGAGAGTAGTTAGGTAGGTAGGTAGATAAAGGGATATATATAGAGAGAAATAGAGAGAGAGAGAAATACAGTAGGTAGGTAGAGAGAGAGAGTAGTTAGGTAGGTAGGTAGATAAAGGGATATATATAGAGAGAAATAGAGAGAGAGAGAAATACAGTAGGTAGGTAGGGAGGGAGAGAGAGTGTGTATGTAGGTAGGTAGAGGGATAGAGAGAGAGAAATAGAAATAGAGAGAGAGAGAGAAATACAGTAGATAGGTAGGGAGAGAGAGAGAGTAGGTAGGTAGGTAGAGGGATAGAGAGAGAGAAATAGAAATAGAGAGAGAGAGAAATACAGTAGATAGGTAGGGAGAGAGAGTGAGTAGGTAGGTAGGTAGAGGGATAGAGAGAGAGAAATAGAAAGATAGGTAGGGAGAGAGAGT